GAGATACCCAGACTTGGAGGATAGCTCAGAAATAGAGCATGCGTTTAGCATATATAATGCCTATTCCCAAACCACACACCCACACCCACACTCACACTCTGGTTCATATGTGAAGTGTGAAGTATCTACATATCTACTGTGTGATCCTGAAGGGTTGAATTCAGATGCACTGCTTAAGAATGGCCAATACAAGGGCTTGCTGAAAGCAAGAAGGGAAGCTTGGACTGGTGAGAGGGCTCAATGGATATTGGCACTTGCTCTGCAAATCTAAGGTCCTGAGCTTGATACATGGAACCCACAGTGGAAGGAGAACCTACTTCTGAAAGTTGTTCTGACTGCCACATTCATGCTAGAGCACGTGTGATGACACGCACATATATGCTTTTAGGAGTATAACAGGTCACTGTTACACGTCATCACTATTTTTATCTGTGTTCTATAGTTGAAAAGACTGGATGTGTTGAGTGTGGTGTCATATGCCTGTAATCTCAGCTCTCAGGAAGCTGAAGCAGCCAGATTGCCAGAAGTTCTGGGCCAGCCTGGGCTATCTAAGTTTGGAAGTGGTATTTCACTAAATGAAGAGCCAGGTGGGAATGGTGACTCACTAGCACTTAGGAAGCTGAGGCAGTTCAAGGCCTGCCTGGGTTACACAGCAAGGCCCTGCCTTAAAACTCTAAAACTTTTGGCTAGGTGTGGTGGCACATGTTGGTACATGCCTTTAATGCCAGCATTTAGGAGGTAGAGGCAGGCAGATCTCTGAATTTGAAGCCAGCCTGGACTACAAAGCAAGTTCCTGGACAGCCAGAGAAATCCTGTGTTTTTAAATTTATTTATGCATACAAATGCTCTATCTGCAAGTATGCCTGGACACAAGAAGAGGGCATCAGAACTCACTACAGGTTGTGAGCCACCATGTGGTTGCTGGGGATTGAACACAGGACCTCTGGAAGCGCAAACAATGCTCTTAACCTCTAAGCTATCTCTCCAGCCCTGTACTGGCCATTCTTAGTGTTCTGTATTCAGCCTTTCAGGAGCACACAGTAGATACTTCACGTGTGTGTGTGTGTGTACATGGTTCTAAGAACTACAAGCCATCTTGGAAAGAGTACCATCAAGTCACCAACTCCAAGATTAGGCTGTGAAGCAAAGAAAATGGATAGATGGTTCACTCACATGTATGATTACTTGTGCTTAAATAAAACCACAAAAACTGCAAGCAGCAGATACTTATAGACCAAAAGTAGAAACCATACTTATTTCCTAAGCCTAAACTGCCCTGAACTCTGGAATCAGCCTGTGAAACATGAAAGGAAGAAGACTTTGGGGCCTGGACCAACAGCAGAAGACAGGCACAGGTTGATGATAAATCACGTGTTCTTGCAACTGCAGATTATGCCAGTTCTCTGTTCCATGAACCTCAGTCCCAAAAGGTATGCCCCAAAAGCAAGCAAAGGAAGACCTGTTTCTTTCTGTCATTTGTAGAGAACCTGAGTCTCCAGATTAAGTTTCTAGATATTGGGACAGTGGAGACAATGCTGGGTAGATCTAGCACAAAGGAAGCTGCTCCCCAATCATAATACTTTGTCGTCTCTAAAAATATATGGTCTGGTTTTTCTTGAACTTGTAGACTCAAGTGACCCACCTTGGTTACTCCAGTGCTGAGGCTGCATGTGTGCACCAATATGTGAGGCTACAAATAATCTTTTTTTTTTAATTTTTCCTAAACTCAATCTGTAGATCAAGCTGACCTTGAACTGCCCAGCTACAAAAATCTTTAAAATAAACAAACAACAGGGTTGGAGAGATGGCTCAGAGGTTAAGAGCACTGTCTGTTCTTCCAGAGGTCCTGAGTTCAATTCGGTGGCTCACGGCCATCTATAATGAGATCTGGTGCTCTCTTCTGGCATGCAAGCACACATGGAAGGAATGTTGTATACATAATAAATTAAAAAAATAAACAAACAACAGTCAGTAGTGGCACACACTTTTAATCCCAGCACTCAGGAGGCAGAGGCAGGCAGGTCTCAGTGAGTTCAAGGCCAGCCTGGTCTACAAAGCAACAACCAGGATAGCCAGGACTGTTACACAGAGAAACCCTCTCTAGAAGGCAAAAACAAAAACAAACAAACCAAAAAAAAAAAAACCAAAAAACAAAACCAAACCAAAAATCATCTTTTATGTTGCAGTTGTTTAACTCTGTGAAGCTGTGATACTTTGTCTAAAACACCTGATTGGTCTAATAAAGAGCTGAACAGCCAATAGCAAGGCAAGAGAAAGAATAGGCAGGGATAGCTGGCAGAAAGGAATAAATAGGAGAAATCTCTGGGAAAGAAACAGAGGAGCAGCCAAGCGGTGGTGACACACGCCTTTAATTCCAGCACTTGTGGGGCAGAGGCAGGCAGATCTTTGTGAGTTCGAGGTTAGCCTGGTCTATAAGAGCTAGTTCCAAGACAGGCTCCAAAGCTACAGAAAAAAACCCTGTCTTGGAAACCCCCCACCCCAGCCCCAACAAAAAGAAAAAAAAAGAAACAGAGGAGCAAGAAAAGAAAGGCCTAGCCATCCAACCACATAGCTAGACACAGACACAGAGTAAGTAGGAAAGAAAAGAAAGACATACAGAAATAGAGAAAGGTGGCAAAAAGTAGATGGGATAATTTTAAAAAAAGATGGCAGGCAGGAAAAAAAAAAAAAAAGCCGGGCAGTGATGGTGCACGCCTTTAATCCTAGCACTTGGGAGGCAGAGGCACGATGGATCTCAGTGAGTTCGAGGCCAGACTGTTCTACAATGCCAGTTCCAGGACAGTGAGACCATCTCAGAGAAACCCTGTCTTAAAAAACCAAAAAGAAAGAAAGAAAGAAAGAAGGGAGGGAGGGAGGAAGGGAGGGAGGCCCATCTCCACCTGCATACTCTGTGGCAGTCTCCCTGCTGCAAACATAGGGGCCCACATTTCCCCCTCTTGTAAATACACCAGTCTCACCAAGATGGTCGCCCCCCCAACCCCTACCCCCCAGCCCCGGTGCCCTCATCTTAACCATGCCACCTACAAAGACTGTCTGTTTCCATCTAGGTCACAACTGGGGACCTGGGGTGAGGGTCGTTTGGGGGATTCAGTGCTTCAGTGGTTGTATCAAAGTCTCTCATACCTGCATGTGCTCGGCTACCATCTATCATCAGCCATTTTTGTTTTCCTTGAGGCAGGGTGCCACTGAATAGCTCTGACTAGCCTCCAACTTACTCTATAGACCAGGCTGACATTGACCTCAGAGATCCACCTGCCTCTATCTCCCAAATCCTGGGATTAAGGGCAAGCACCACCATGTTGGCCCACCTATTCCCCGCCCCCTTTTTGATAAAAGTTCTTAACATGTAGCCATGGATAACCAGGAACTAGCTATTATACCACAAGTCTTGAAATGATTCTTCTGCCTTTGCCTCCCAAGTGATAGGATTATAGGCACACACCACAATGGCTAGAATATTTTTTTTACATACTTTTATTACCTGTACATATCACTAAGAATCAACAGGCCTTTCTATGTACTTTCCCAGGTTTTCTTCCATTTTAAGTGAGTGCAAAATAGGTTACACACTGTCATTTTTCTTTTTTAAAAAATCATTTTATTAGCCGGGCAGTGGTGGCTGATGCCTTTAATCCCAGAATTTGGAAGGCAGAGGCAGGTAGGTCTCTGAGTTCGAGGCCAACCTGGTCTCCAAAAGCTAGTTCCAGGACAGGTTCCAAAGCTACAGAGAAACCCTGTCTCAAGAAAAAAAAAAATCAGTTTTGCCTGTATGCATGTACATGCAACATGTGAATGTCTGATGTCTGCCTAGGCCAGAAGAGGGTGTTGGGAATTGAACCTAGGTCTATTGAAGGAGCAAGTCCTCTTAACTACTGAGCCAACTCTCAAGTCAGTCATTTTTCCTTTAATTAAAAAAATTTCATTTTTGTGTGTTTGCTTGTATGCAGGTACACACAGTACCTGTGGAGGTCAGAAGTGGACATCAGATCCCCTGGTTACAGTTGAGTCACCATTGTGGATGCTAGGAATTGAACCTGGGCCCTCTAGAAGAGCAGCTCTTAACCACTTAGGCATCTCTCTAGCTTTTTCTTTCTCTCCTTTTTTCCCCAGACTCATAATGAAATCTCTCTAGCTTTTAATTTTTTAAAATTGTTTGCATGCACAGTCAAAGAACAGTCACTGCTCTCTCCACCTTCACGTGGAACCTGGGATTGAACTCAGGTTACAGGCTCGTGTAGCAAGATCCTTTATCCACTGAACCATCTCTCTGGTCTCAAACTTGCTATTCTCTTGCCTCAGCTTCCTGAGTGATGGGGTTATTGGGCAAGTACAACCATGTTCAGCTCCCTCCACCCTTTTGTTTTGAAAAACTAAAAACCTTCAGAAATAGTATTAAATTTTTAGACAGTCTATGTAGCAACTACATAGATTCTTTAACTACAACCTGCCAAGTACTAGGTTACAACTATGCACCACCACACCCTGTGTAAAATCAGTATATCAATGTTGCATCCACTCTTGAGGATCATAAAAACTTGGCAGCCTGTTAAGAGCCAGACACTTTTCCTAGGGCAGTAAGAACAGCACTGTTCTACCCCTGGGCAGTTTGTGCAGTGACCTTTTGTAATGCTCACTAATCAGAAAGTCCCAGTTTCAGGGATGAAGATGTAGGCCTGTCAGTGTCAGCCCTGCTGCTCAGAGGATCAAGCTAGAATATCTCAAGTTCAAAGGCAATTTAGTGAGATACTAGCTCAAAGTAAAGGTAAAAAGAGCTTTATATGGTTGTACATGCCTTGAATTCCAGTACTCAGGAAGCAGAGGCAGGTGGATTTCTATGAATTCCAAGACAGCCAAGGTTACAAAGTCAGACCCTGTCTCAAACACACACACAAAGATGGAGTTGGAGAAAAACCATATCTGATCCCCCGTGTAATACACAAGCACACATGTGTATACACACACAAAGAATCAACACAGCATGGTAGACAGGACAGCATTTATTCCCATTTTACAGATGAGGAGACAAACTCAGGCAGCCTCTGTGATCACCCCACTCCAGGTCACACGTCACTGACTTGGCTGATTCTGGAACAGACTTCTGACTTCAGTGGCTCAGCATTCTTGGTTTCCCTACCTTCCCTCCGTAGTCATGACACCCGTTACTTCTCAAAACAGACATTCAAAAGCAAGTGAAAGCCTTTTATACTGCTTCTGACAGCCAAAGGAGACATCTACCAGACCCCACATGCACATACAGCACGAGGCAAAGCTGTGTGTTCAGAAACCCAAACCTGGGTGTGACCATACAGGCCTCAATATGGCTGATCTCAGCAGAAACCTGAATCCACAGTGGAGAGTGGAGTGCAGAAAAACAAAAGAATATCAATTTTTCTGTCAATTACTTCTAGTCTGAGTTCTATTTATTGAGAGCTTATTCTGTCCCAGCGTCTTGACTTGGGACCCAGAACAAAGCAGGCAAACAAGGGTCCTGTCTTTGTGAAGCTCGTGTTCCAATACATTCTTCAGCAATTCACAAACTAGTGCTGGAGGCTCAGTAGCAGAACATTTGCCCAGTGAGAGGCTGTAGCTGTGGCTAAGGAGAACCTTTGCCTAGAATCTCCCAGTGAGGGGCTGTGGCTGCGGCTGAGCAGGAGAGCCACTGTCTAGCCTCTCCTAGTGAGGGCTGAGGCATGATTCAGCAGCGGAATGATTGTCTACCCTTCAGGAGGCTCTGGGTTCCATGCCCAGGCCTGCAAAATGAAAAGCAAGGAACAATCCTTAAGAGCCAATGAGACTGGTGAGCTGATTTTCCTATCAGTGTTAGGTGCAATTCACAATGGTGCCTCATTTCAGAGTAAGGCGCTAACATCTAACTTCTCTGAAACTGGCAACTTTGGGGGATTAAACAATACATAGCAGTTACCAACCACTGTGCATTCAGGGCACATGCTTACTAGCTCACTGCAGTCTCTACCATTTCCTCCCGTCTCACAGCCAGGCAACCCACCTAATTCCTACCTTTGCTACACACACGACTGCCCTTGTTACGGCACTGGAGCAAATACACATCAAACAAGATGGTTTTAGAAATCATCAATTCATACAAAAGAAAGAAAAGCACCAACGTAAACAACAGGACGGGATTGGTGGAAAGGGCTACTTCGGATGGAGTGTTTGAGGAGGCAACTGTTTGAAATCAAAGTTACCAAGGACTGAATCACATTGACAAGTCTGCCAACAGAAAGGAAAAATGCTTGCAACAAACAAGAGGGACCAGCCCATACCTGGAACCTGTGAACTGCTTGGGTTAGTAAAGAAACAGAAAGAATGGGGTGGACGCGACCTTTGCCAAAGAAGACCACAGGAGGGGCTAAACTTCACTACATTACGCAAGGCACAGAGAGTTCAGGGTTTTTAGTCTTAAGAGTAGAGAGAAGCCTCTGAAGGGTTTTTAACTGGGGAATGGCACAACCTGTTTTATGTTTTTCAAAAGCTGGCTAAACTATGTAGAAGAGTGACTTGAAGTAATGTGGTTGGAAAGAGAAGTACTATACATATAGTGCGTTACAGTGTCTAAGACCAGGATAGTAACAGAAGAGATGGGGAGACAGCAGATGCTGCAGGGCATCTGGATATAGTGGTGGTGGTGGAAGGAGAGGGTGGCGACAAGGCAGCCATCAAGGTCAACTTCAGGGTTGTGCCTTATTCCAACATCTGTAGCATTGAGGATGGCTGGAAGAGGACCTACTTTTAAGCAAAAGATCAAAACTAAATGGGATGGATACTTTTTGCTAGAGTCAAGTCTTCCTAGATCACTGACATTTTCCACACTCCTTGGATCCAAGCAGTATTCAAATTCATATGTCTGAGACCAATCTCTCATTCGATATATTACATTTCATCCCCATTATAGTCCTAAATTCATTACTGTCAAGCCCCATGCCTACATCCCCTGTAGCTGTGAATTAACAAAAAGCACTTCACAGTCACCAGTCTTTAGGTTCTATGAAGCAGACACCAAAGTGATGAGCCCAAGAGGTCTCCAATAGAGGAGTTGCCATGTTAAGATTGCATTACTTCTCAAGGCACATGAACCAAACCACCATATGCATCCAAGATGAATGAGCAAGCCTAGTTTCAGAAGACTGGCCCTCTCAAGGGCTGTGTTTCTTTCTGACTGGGTTTCAGACCACAGTTTGAGTCCAAAATTTACCTGACAGATAATGATGTTGGACAGCACTGTTATGCTACATGTGTGAAAGCTTTGGAATGCTCTTAGCCTTACAACATCTTTTCAAGAAGGCCACAGAGAGCATCGTTCCCCATTTTACAAATAAGAAAACTGAAGCCTGGAGCAAAAAAATCTCTAGTCAAGGTCTCTCTCCATATGGAGCCCAGGAAGTCCTGGAATTCACTATGTAGTCCAAGCAGGACTTGAACCCCTGATCCTCCTGCCTTTGCCTGTAGAATGCCTAGTTTATAGGCCAACACAAACACCACCCCTTAATTATTTCTTACTGGTAACAGGAGCCTGGTCCAGGTGGAGACTCACCTTGCAGCATTATAAAACACATTCTGTACCTTACTCTCTGGTGTCCCTCAGGTTTTACCTTGACATTCACTCACAAACTTCATTGGGTGTCAGGGTCTTTTGCCACACAGTAAAAGGCTTTGCTCTCTCTGTCTCTCTTCTTTCTACCCCTCTTCTCAGTGCTGGGTGAAGATAGACTCCACCCTTGGGCTTGTGAGAAAACAGCACCTTTCAGTATGGGAGGAGTCAAACAAAAAGAGAGAGAGAGAGATCTAAGTATGCAAGAATAGCTTCAATGGGAAAAAGTGGAGGCCAACAGGAAGAAAATTGGGAGGTTCCTCCAGGTCTCTACCCCAGGGACAGCTGGGAATAGAGTAGCAACCATGGTGGCAGGCAGCCAGATCCATCCAGAGCCAGAGTCACTTCTTCAGGGCACCCAGGCTCTTTAGGGCCTCCTGGGCCTGGGTCAGCTGTTGCTGCAGCCTCTGGCGGGTGCTCTCACTGGATGCCCGCTTCAGGAGACCCTGCATCTCCTCAACCACAGCCCGGTGGCCAGGGGTGTTGTGGAAGAGCCGCACTGCACGGTCCCCACAGGAGGCCAGGAAGCGGCCAGTGATGTCAAAAGTCAAGTCAGCAATACATTCCCCGTGGACACTCTCGAAGCACTCCTCCTTCTCCCCACGCCTCGTGTTGAAGAGATGAATACTGGTGCCAGAGGCCAAGGCCAGGACATGGGTGTCAGGGGAGAGCGCCAGGCGGCAAGGCATGGTACACGCCTCTTCAAAGCGGCCTGTCCTTAGCAAGTAGGGGTCCTGCTGCTTCTTGTATTCCACATCTGTGTCCCACAGCTTCCATGTGCCATCCTTGGAGACAGAGGCCATCCTGCAATGTGGGAAATCACAGCTAGAGCCTCAACAACCCTAGCTTGGAAAGGTGCTGGAGCAGCCCAAGAGGCTGCAACTACGAAGCCAAGTCTACATTCTGCCGAGAATCAAGTCCTCCACCCTTTTCAGACCTGCAGCCCAGGTCCACTGCTCAGCCTAGCTTGCCTGTTCACACCAGTAACCCCAGCACTGGGGGCTGAGGCAAGGCAGGAGGATCAATCTGAGTTCAAGGCCAGCCTGGGCTACCAAGGTGTCTCAAAAAACACAAACAGAACAAAACATTAAGAAATTGCCAGGCAAGGTAATATACACACCCATGTCTCAATACTTAAAAGAGAGGCAGGTGGATCAGGACTCCAAGGCCAGCCTTGGCTATCTGCACTAAGTAAGACCAAACAATTAGAAGAGCAAAGGAAAGAAAAGGCACTGATGCACTCACCTCCGAGAGTCGTTGGAGAAAGCGAAAAAATGAACAGATGCAGAGTGGCCCTTCAATTCAAAGGCTCGCAGCACCTCCTGGAACTCTCCTTTCTTCCCAAAGCAGATCTCCCAGACCTTGACATCTGGGGTGAAGCCACACGAACCCACAAACCTGTCACATAACCCACACTCTTAAAACTCAAATGTTAAAGTACCTTGTTTCTAACAAATCTTAGCTCTCTTTCCTGAGAAACAGTACCTTTTGATGATGTTAAGCATGGATGTAGGGTCTCATAAATACAAGGCATGCTATCTACAGCTCCAGCTCCAGCCTAAGGAATCTTTTTAAAGTGTTTCAGTGTCAGGCATGGAGGTATACCCCTTCAATCCCAGCTAGTCTGGAAGCTGAGGCAGAAGGATCAAGTTTAAGGCCTTCCTGGTCTAACAGAGTAAATAGGAAGGAAGTATGAATAACTTAGCAGGATCTTATCTCAAACTAACATTAAAATTAATATAATAACACCGAGTATTATGTATTTTTTAATTCCAATGCTCAAAAGGCAAGAAGAGGTGGATCTTTTATGAGTTTGGGACTACCTTGGTTTATATAGTGAGTTCCAGGCTGTTGAAGGCTACTCACAGAAAGCCTGTCTCAGAACAAATAAAACCAGACAACCATAAACAAAAAAGAAAAGAACAAAGAGAACCAGGTATTGTGGTATATATCTATAATCCCAGTACTAAGCAGTCAGATGCAAGAGTGTCTATCACAAGTTCAAAGCCAACCTGGTCTACATAGCTAGTTCTAGGCCATCCAGGACTCTACAACAAAACTCTAAGAAAAAACAAAGTAAAACTCTGGGTGGTGGCTGTGCACACCTTTAATCCCAGCACTTGGGAGACAGAGGCAGGTGGATCTCTCTGTGAGTGTAAGGCCAGAATGATCTACACAGTGAGTTCCAGGACAGCCAGGACTACATAAAAGGACCCTGTCTCAAAAACCAAACAAAGATTTTAAAAAGACCTGGCATGGTGGCACACACTTTTAATCCAAGCTCTCTGGAAGCAGAGGTAGGCTAATATTATTGGATTTCAGGCCAGCTGATCTACATAATGAGTTTCAGGCTAGCCAGGGATATAGAGAGCCCCAGGCTCAAAAACAAAACAAGTAAAATGAAGCCCATAGGTGAGGGAGGGGCTTCTGATGTTGTATAGTGGTTGAGTATTTGCCTACCATGTACTCTCGTTAGTACTGCAAAAATAAACACACCATAAGCGAAGAAACAGACACTAAGGACTATGGAGCCCTGTGGGAAATTCTTTCACTGTTTGGAATGATATCCAGGAGTCCAGGAGTCCCCTACCCACTCCTCAAAACTGTAGCTATTTTGCCTCTGCTCTGTAGCTATTCTCTTCCTCCTCACCTGCTACATGGGGAGATAACAGCGTGAGCGTTGTTCATCTGGTTGGTGTTGATTGTAGACAGCACCTGACCTTTCAGATTCCAGATGAGAACGGTCGTATCACTGGAGGCTGTCATGATGAACTTCCCTGATGAGGAGAGGAAAGTTGTGAGGCTGGAGCCTTGACAAAAAGGACGGTTACCTCCCAAGGAAACAATGAGGCACTGCTCCAAGAAGTATGGCTCTTACTGTATAGCTTGTGGATTCTAGAGAAGCAAAGGGCCAGACTTCCATGGTCACAAGGACACCAGGCGAAACTCAGGAAGTATCAACTCATTCAAATATAACTTAGAAAGCTGGCAAATTGGTCTAGTGAGTGGAGGTACTTGTCACCAAGTCTGATGAACTAAATTCAACTCCCATGTGTCGATGACTCTGTAGTTAAGAACACTGGCTGCTCTTCCAGAGGATGTGTGTCTAATCCTCAGCACTCATATGGCAGCTCACATTTGGCTATAACTCTAGTCCCAGAGAACACCATGCCCTCTTCTGGCCTCTGTGAGCACTGCATGCAAGTGGTGCACAGACATACATTCAGATAAAACACCTAATGCATAAAGTAAAAATAAATAAACCTTAAAACAAAACAAAGAGCAAGTTATGACTCGGGAACTTTCTCATGCTGTAAGTAAGCTTCATCCACTGAATTCCCTACCTGTGTCAGCAATGCCAATGTTGACAATAGGCGCTTTGTGCTTTTTAGGGAAGTCCTCTGGGGTGGCTGTGAAGGTAAAGCTCCCATCTTCTCGTTTTGTCATCTTAAAGACACGGAGGGTGTCCCCATTGGCCAACCAAACAATGAAGGCTCTAGAGAGCAAAAAAGAGGTCATTTCCTCACCTGTAAAGAGGTCTACATGTCCTAGATGGGGGAGGGGGAAATTAAGATTGTCCCTCTCGCCCTATTTTATATTCCTTGGTTCAATTTTTTTATATATATTTTATTTATTTATTACATATACAACATTCCTTCCATGTGTGCCTGCAAGCCAGAAGAGGGCACCAGATCTCATTATAAATGGCTGTGAACCACCATGTTGTTGCTGGGAATTGAACTCAGGACCTCTGGAAGAGCAGCCAGTGCTCTTAACCATTGAGCCATCTCTCCAGCCCCCCAATTCTTTTTTTTAACTTTAAAAATTTTCTTAATGTTTATATACCATATGCCAGGTGCCCTTAGAAGCCAGAAGAGGACACTGGCTCCCCTCAGACTGGAGTTACAGACAATTGTGAGCTGACATGTGGGTGCTGGGAATTGAATTTACATCCTATGTAAGAGCAGTCAGTGCTCTTAACCCCTGAACTTAACTCCAGTCCCTCAAAATCTCATAAAAGCTATTCAGAGTGCCAAAGGGATGATTTAGCAGGTTAAAAAGCACTTGGTTGGCAAAACTAATGTGACTTGAGTTCAATACACAGGAACCCATACAGTAGAAAAAAAAAAAACAAACAACCCAACTTCTGTTGTCGGCTGGCCTACACACACAAAGAGCAAAACAGAACAATTCAGAGATAT